CAATGTTTTAAATAGAGGCAACTAGGGAGGCTGTTACCTGAAGTGAATTTGAAAGAAGTCCAGATGCAACTAAGCAGTGGGTAAACCGGGAAAGTGCTGATGAGAACTCCTCCATTAAAGAACCTAAGAAAATAAAAATACCATTAAAACAAAATACACAATGCTTATTATAAAATTTGATTTCATTTTCATATTTATGGGCATGTGTATCAAAGATTGGTAATATGTAGATATACAATACATACACCTAAATATGAACTGGTTATTGGACATTGCGACAATCCTTTCCAGAATGCAATAATAATTTATTGGATCTTCTGTTTTAAAACAGAGGCACACGTTAGACACAAAACTTAAATAATAAACAGGCAAACATATCTTATGTAAAATAAGTAAAGTAAAATAACTGGAAGTTTGATAAAATAAATATAATGAAATAAAACATTTAAATAATCAGGAGAATTTCACATGTTTTTTTCTTCATGTAACAAAATGGGAATGGTTAATTTAAAATTGTTAAAGCATTATTTAAAATGAGTACACAAGAGTAAAATTATTGTTTAAAAATATTTTTAAAATCGTAAAATACCTTGTAAAAACTCCTTGGTTGGACGATTTAAAATGACTTAAATTATGAGCGACTATCAACTTTTACCGGTGGTATTTAACATAATTATCTGTCAGTCTTAACTTAACTTAATTATGGTAATACATGTTTTTCACACTGCATTCATCTTTCTATGAATGTTGATAATATAAACATCCAGAACTGCCTCATAAACATTTCTCACCTAAGTATTATACAATACATAAGACTCAACATGTGATTGCTGTTTGAGGTTGTTAATAGGAAGCATTTAAAATAAATTAAATGGTATTTAGAAATGATCTTGCTTACCATTGTCGATTTTTATCATTTCTTTATCAAGATCTTTGATCACTCCAGCTAAATTCATCAGATGTACGTCAGTTACAGATGCTCTAAAATTAATGACAACAAAACACTTTATCTTTCAACAGTTTATTAGTCAATACTCTTTATTTAGCCAATACTTAAAAGAGTTTAATACCTAGTTGTAAATAAAAGGAAACTTCCCAACCCATTTGTTAATATCAACAATGATGCTGAAGCGAATGGTACCAATTACTAGTTGAAGACAGTGTTATTTAAGGATGATAATTAAACATTGCCTATGTATGTAACATTTGTAATTTTTTGTAATTATCATCGAATTCAACAATTATTTGTGTGAGTTAAGGCAAGCATGTGTGGGCTATTGTTGTATGCCAAATTTATTCTACCTTACAGTGATCCAGTTCCATATTTAGTAACCCAAACTCTAATGATCTTTTTCGAGTGCCATACGTAACAACCAACCAATTAGACTTAGGTCAGGAATATACGTGTCCTACAAACACACGTGTTGTCTCACAAACGCACATGTTTAGTACATTCACACTATCGTTTTGTGGGACCTTAGCTATAATATTCAAGGGGTGGGCTTTAGGGGGGCAATTGCACATTAATTAAGGCACTTAAGCTGTTTATGGAATAATCTCATAGCATCTTACAGTAAGGATAAGAAAACCTTCTGATTCACCTGTAATAGGATTGGATGAACTCATTGCTGGATTTAAGAAGATAGGTAGTCATAAACTGCAGTGTCTCAGTTGACAGCCTAAGGTACTGAAATAAAAATCATGTTGAAATATACTATTAGTCAATATAACAGAACAATAGTAAAAAATATGAAACAATGTTGCCTTATTATAATGTTATGTAAAATGAAACACTGGTAGCATTTTATTGACTAACTACATAGTATTTATTCACGCAAGCTTTCACCAGCAGTCTATGCTGGCTTCGTTAGGTGCTCCTGAAGAAGCCAGCCTTGACTGCTGGAGAAACCTTCTGTGAATAAATACTATATAGTTAGTCGAAGTGCTACCAGTGTTTCATTTTACATAGTTATACCTGACTAATACAGCTCCACCTACTATTATATCTGATAAAGTTAGTATTTTTTTAAGGTAACACCCTGGGTAGAAGTTGATTTATGAAAATAAATTAAGGAGGAGCTACTACAAACCACCACCTAGATGGTGGTTGGTGATTGGTAAGAGTAGTGATTGATACCAGTGACCTCATCTCTAGCATATGTAATCATCATTATGATGATGTAATACATCAACACTGCAGTACCCGCTGCTTACTTGGACTCGAATTCAAACATGGCCATCAGGCGCAAGCTCCTTGGTCTAGAGGTATGATGCCAGGCTAGTGATCTGGAGATCGTGGGTTCGAGTCCCACCCGAGAACAACTTGCGATTTTTTATCGCAGTTGTTTTCAAATGTACTGAGTATTCGGTACATTTCCACGTCAGGTAGGGCAAAATTACACCTATACATTATGATGATGACGACGACAATAATGAAAAAATGATTCTGATGGTTACTCATGGTGAGGGCAAAGAGGATGAGACTGAATAAGTTGATGATAATGATTAAAATGATGATGATAATGATATTCACAATCACGATAATGCAAAATATACAGACGCTGATAATAATTTTTTGTCCAACCAATAAATCAACTAATCAAATTAACTATAGAAGTCATTTAATCACAGAAATTGTGTTCCTACCACTGCTGGTTCTTCAGTGTCAGGCAGGTCCATGATGTTAGGTGACTCAGACTTGGATGCTTTCCCATCCTCGCCCTTCCCAGGTGCACGCGGAAGTGGAGGAGGAGGGGGTATTTCCTTGGAATCTTCATTTGGGGACAGGTTATCATGGAATAAATGTCCAAACAGTGGTTCACTGTCATCATCTAGTGATAAGCAAAATAAACAGTTTTAACATATTTTTTTGTTAAACCATATTTATAAAGGTTGACTCGTCCGGCATATCCTAGTAAGTTGAATGATGTACAGGGGCCCGCTTAAATAAATGAGAAAATGTAACATGGTGCTTTATGTTTATAAGAGAAGTCTCATGAGGCTTATGGAGTGGAGATATGTTTTAGTGCTGAACAGGAGTTTAACCCATGATCCTGAGATTGGAATGCCAGCTTCTTAACCACCAAACTGCACATCTCCACTTTAAACATCTCCACACACACAAGTTATCAGTTTGCTAAAACCATTGATCAAAAACCAATGACTATCAAAACAGCTTTGGCTTTAAAGTAAAGGTGCTCATAAACCCTGCTAATAATATTAATCTTCACGTTATTTTGATCATTATTTTTGTCAGTTCTTTTTAAGATTAAAGAAAATTTCATTGTCTGAAAAACTCAGAAATTACATAAATTGTAATAATAATAATAATAATAATAATAATAATAATAATAATAATATTATTATTATTATTGTTGTAATTGTATAATTAGCATATTTATACATGATACCTTCACTACTGTCTTCTGAGCTGCTGAATTCATCTTCGTAGTCCTCGTTTATTTCTGAGTTGCTGTCTGAGTAACTATCATCCGTTGTCCCTGCTTGGTCCTTTTTGCTCCGTACAATTGAGCAAGCCTGGTAGAAAATAAAAAATGAAACATATTCAAAGCTAAATCAATTTCGTTAACAATATTTCTGTTTTCTAAAAGTATCAAAACCTAAATAAATATAATAAACATGTAGTATAACAAAGATGCCATGTTGCTTAAATTACCCCTCTTAATACTCATTCTCACCTTCCTGAAGTGGACATTATTTCTCTATCTGGACCTTAATCACCTCTTCACCCGATCTAGCACTAAATTATTTCCTCCATTTTAATTGAGTTCAACAGCCATTCTTCTAAAGCTTACATACTCACTCTCTCAACTACTGCATCACATACCAATAACAAATTTACTATTTTAAAGCATATTTAATTTACATGTTTAAAGTTCTGTTCACTATCTGGTATTGAGTACAGTATTATCAAGTTTGATGTGATAAATACCTATAATTTGCCCATATATGTTGTGTCCAAAATTGGCCAATAAATCACAGATTTTTGTCACATAGACCTTGATTCTAGTCAGGTTTATACAGTGTTTCCGGATGGTGTTGCCACCAGTATTCTGAGACAAATTAAGCCTATTGTATTGTAAATTAATTATGCAGTAGTGCTAAGATGTGGCATGGAAGTTCTATACTTAAAACTAAATTGTTCATGTTTTATAGCACTGATATGACAAACCTGAGAAGAAAGATAATCTTCTCCAATGTGTTTACAAACGTGCTATCACTCATACTCCCCGTAAATATTAGCAAGAATAAGACAGTTCACTACTAAAAGTGTACTAACCTTACGATATCCGAAGATGAAGAGACCGAATAGGAAGTTGATAACATCAGCCCCTTCCAGTATGCCCTTTACCCGCATGCTAGCTGTGTTCTGAGGTGCAATGCTGATCTCAGCTACTTCACTTTGTCTCTGACTCACCTGCAGAGGAGGTAACATATTACATTAGGAAAATATACACTATAAGCGCATATCTCCACCAAAGGCGTATTGAGCACCTTTGGTGGAGATATGCGCTTCATAAATCTTTATTATTATTATTGTTAAGCCCTCTATGCACTTCACATATCATGACCCCGTTTGATTAGATTAAACGCTCAGGAACACAAACTCAAGCTCCTTGTGGGAGTATTTCATTCAGCTCCATCAGCGCATTTTGGCATTTAACCCTACCAGGTACCTACTTATACTCCTGGGTGGAGAGAAGCAATGCAGATAAAGTGCCTTGCCCAAGGATACAAATGAAATGCACAGCAAGGGATTAAAACCCCAACAACGAGGTTAAGCCAAGAGGAAGTCTGTTAAGTAGAGCATAATCAGATACTCAAAGTCTCATGATATGTTTGATCAGATACCTGTAAAAACCAAACTAGCCACTCCCATCACCCCCCCCCCCCCCAACACTTTACTACACCTGCAATATTATTAAAGTCATTATACCTGTGTCAAGCTCTCAATGTGAAGGTCATCCATCAATGTCTTGAAGAGACTCAAGCCTTTGTTAGCTAGAGCTACTGTCAGACTACTAAAGCCCTGCAACCTGATAAAAAACAAAAAAACAAACAATTATATATATCAATAGTGCAAATTGATGGAGTGTAGCAAATGAAAAACCAGATGACAATACATTAGGATTACAACCAGCATTGCATCATTTTGTTTATTTATTATTTTCATACTGTATTTTTCAATCATTAAATTTCATCAACTTACGCTTCTATTTTAATGTTTCTTAACTTATTTTCATTGAAAAAAAAATGTTTACTTACTTTATCATCAACTCAAATTCATCAACCTATATAATCACATTATGTATATTTAAATTTTTTTTTTTTGTAATCAAATTTACTCAATTCAATTTATAATAATCCTTTCGAACACATATAAAAACATAATTATTAAAAACTAATGTGTTGCTTTCCTTACCCTTTTGCTGAGCTGGGCCTAATTGGTGTGTCTTTTGTTTTTGCAAAAGTAGGCTTTTCAGACTTAGGCAAAGGTGATGTGCCGCCCTCGCGGTCCTTCTTTTCTGGAATACTTGTGGCATTCAGATTAAGAATGTGCTCCAGTCCACGGAAGATACACCATGCTCCAAGCATGTTCAAATTTTGAAGATTCTGTACAGTATAAGGTAAAACATTAGATAAACTTGATTACAATACAGATAAACAATAATAAAAATATTAACAAAAACAAAAACAATGAACTGACATTTATAATGTCTTGGTACATAAACAAAAACATGAAAGTAGAAAAATAAAGCAAAAAGGGACATAATAATAATAATAGTAAAAGTTTTATAAAGCGCACATCTCCACCAATGGTGCTCAAGGCGCAGTAAGGTACAGTCTAACACAAGCATGTAGCAGTAACGGAAAACAATTTTCTCAACTATCAGCCAACTACATAGGTCTATTTGCATTGATTTAGATTGGTGTGGAGTGAAATAAAAAAAACAATGATTACCGTACTCGTGCGAATAAGCGCCTGGGCGCTTAAATTATTTTTGGCTCTTTTTAAGGGGTGCTTATTCAAACCGGGAGCTTATGAAAACAGAGTGGAAATTTAGGGGGCGCTTATGGAAATAGATGAAAATTCAAGGGTGCTTTAATGGGAAATTGGAAAATTCAAAAGGGGCACTTTTTTGAAAACCAAAGATAAACGAATGGTTTTGGTGAAGAAAAGGTAATCGTCGAGAGAGCATGGCTCATGACAAGTATGTTGGGGGTATGTACACAACAGCAGATGACATTAGTGGTGGTATTATAGATGAATAGATGGACTGACCAACTGACAATGCTAAGATATGCAAATAGTTGATGCAGAAAATTAAGTTGGTGATGTACTGTACTGTATGAATGTAATTTTTTTAGGAATCAAGGGGCGCTTATTCAAAATTGAGAGGGTGCTTATGGGCAATTTCATAATGCAGAGTGATTTTTTGTAATTTTTCATACTTATCAAATCCCATCAAGTTTGTTATCAAACTAAAGCTCATTTTATATAGAATTATGATCTAAAATCAATATTTTGGTATTTCAATGGTAAAATGTGAAAAAAATGATCCAAATACATAGTATTTTTAAATTTTAAAATATAGTAAAAAATAGCTTACTTAAATGCAATTATTATGCAGAATGTATATGCTGGAAAATTCTAAATTCATGTTATTTTACAAAAGAATAGGTACTATTATCATTTTTAAAGGTGAAAATTATAATTTTCAAATAATAAATTATTTTTTTTGTTTTTTAAAAAATTTGGTTAATTTATGTGATTCCGCTACCAAAAAAGTGATTTTTTTTAAATTTCTCCAAAAGTATTGATTTTTCAAAAATGAAAGTACAGGTGATAATAGACTACTGATAGATG